ATCTACCAGGAAGTTGAGCACTGAGTTACGAAGGCGACTCAACTTGAGAGGATCTACTATCTATAATCGTTGCCTTGAGTGGAGCCGAATATATACATGTACGTGAGTATTCCTTTGAGTGATATCCGGGAGCGACGCAAGGTTGTGAGACAGCTTCAACACATCGCAAGGTCCTAAGTTGGAATTCATCCAACACAGCAAATGCCAAAGAAATTTTGAAAGCCTTAGAGGGTTTGGTGGAAGACCTCTTTGCCTTTCAGTGACCCCAAATCGTAGCCTCCTATATCACTAGTGCCCGAGGTCATTGTCTGTAAGACACTGATTATAGAAATATTCCTCTTCGGAAATTTGCTATGACTCGTTATCGCTACCGCTATGTAATGCTCACCATCGTGCCCTGGGCCTTACCTTCCACTTCTCTGAAACCCCCCCAGCGATATACAATTCCCATCGCTACTCTGAATGTCGATTACCATTCGAGAACAGTTTCTCGCCACCACGTCCCTTGGGCTCTTGAACACTTCCCACATCATTATTCTGACTGCTTGAACTCTTGAATTTTTATACCTTGTCGGAGCTTCTACATGTTGGGCATCTATGCGGAGAGTAATATCAACCGGTTGAGTGGTGCACATGGAGGGGATAGTTGATGATTTACTTTTTTCGCTGTCAGGAAGGCCTTTCTGTTCGGCAACGAACAGCGAAGATGCATTAAGGACCCCTTCATCTGATGTTCAGGGCTTGTTGCGTTAAGTAGAATAATCTGATAATACTCAACTGATGGGTAGGGGCTACTCTCAGATTACCAGTTGTGGTAGTTGCCAAACGGTTTCTTCTCTTAATCCTCAACATGGCTGTAAACCAGATGGAGTTGTCGCAAGTGATGGCAGCCACGTTGTCCTCTGATTATCATATTCGGCGACAAGCTGAAGAGAAGCTCACGCAGGTAGTATCATAGATTGGGTTTGCCATATACGGATGTAATCCGTTACGGTATTCCTGTAATAGTAGAGGAGTTATCTCTAACAGGCCGAGTCCGCGGGGGGTGTCCTCACATCGTCATTGCTACAGCTAGTAGCTAATGGTAACGAACAACTACCCGTGCGTTTGGCAAGCAGTATATACTTCAAGAATTTCATCAAATCTCACTGGCCGGAGTCCCCTGATGAGGTATTATTGCCAACAGTGGGTCTGTCCAGGATAATGATGATCATTCTCTCATCAGAATGGAGGGATCTCGGAAGAAAACCGCAACCTTATAAAATCACATCTCGTTGATCTGATGCTCTCTGTACCAGCACCTCTCATGGCCCAGCTTCGAGAGAGTATCAAAATCATCAGCGATCTTGGTAAGAAGCCACTCCTGAACACTTTGAAAGCTCGCTCATACTCTTGCCAGATTTCCCTGCTGGCTGGCCTACGCTGCTGCCCACTCTTGTACAGCGGTTGACCAGTAGTGGAGACCTCAATGACGGTGTTCAGTTCGGAGCCTTAGAGACTGCAGCTACTGTGTTCGATAAGTGAGCTTACAGGAGTCTCCACTGGAGGGTATATGCAGCAAGAACTGGATTATTTATAGCATTATAGCCTCTCACTTGGATGAAGGTGTTCGTATGAGTCTGTGATAGGTACCGATACTTAGTGAGATCCAACGAGGTACTCAGGGAGCTACAGTATATCTTAAAGGAGTTTCAGGAGGTAACTCATCCAACATGTGTTGATACTGTATACGGTCTAGGCCACTATGCTCCTCATCTTGGCTATTATTGCTCCTACAGGTTCATCTAGCTCTCTACAGGCAGACAATGCAAGAGATATTCTCGCCTGCACTTAAGGACGCAAGTAGTACATCACCTCAGAAACCCCCTTGTATACTGTGCCAGGTCAAGCTGCAAAGGCCTCGAAGTTAGCCAAACTCCTCGTTGTGGAGCTTGAAATATTTTACGATCTCAATGTTGTCGACATTCCGGTAAGTACACTCTCAGTGCTGCTGCAGACTGAAGTAAATCGCTCTGTTGTTTCCAGGAGTATTACGAAGACAACTCTGCTACTTGGTTCGAAGGATTTCTGCGCTTACTGGAATGGCAGGATGCCCCAGCTGGTAGTAGGCTGGATGCTATGACCTTTTTATCTATACATTGATTTAGCCCTCAAAGCAGTAGACGAGGATACTCCTGGAGCCATCGAGAACCTCAAAGCCCAAGTGTGCAGGAATGTTGCTCTATATGCCGATAAGTACCAGGAGCAAGTGGAACCGTAATACTGATCAACTTCTCCACGGACGATTCGATCATTCCCCACATGGTGTGCGTAGAGATAGCTCGATCGTTTGCCCCATCATATTGTGTATGCTCATCATCATCTATCATGAAGGTATATCTGTGGCGTAGTGAAGTCGGTGTGGACCTTGCTAGTTTCAACGAGTCCTAATGGGAGTAACGACCAGCTGGTAGTTGGGGATTACAATGTGGGTGGATGTACCCAACTCTTGTCTCAGGTATCAGCAGGTATAAAACTGCTCTCAAGTGCGGCTAGTACCAAATGGGATAAAAGTCCCTTTGAGGAGGCGAATTCCCTTCAAGTAATACATGGGACTGCTGATCCTCATCCAGTGTGCTTGTTCAACAGGCTATCTGTGAACACGTTGTTCTCCCTAATATCAAGCTTAGAGACTCTGATGTTGAAGACTTCTTCGACAATCCTACAGTAATGGATCTTTGCCAACCTGCGGATAAGTTAGATATGTGCAGGAATATATAAGAAGGGACATGGAGAGTGCAGATCAAGATACCCGTCGTCGAGCGGCAATGGAGTTAGTGAAGGGACTTAGCAAGTTGTATGAGCAGCAGGTAATGTGGCCTGAGCTGGTGAACTCCAGTGTTGGGCACTAGCATCGGTTTAATGCTAGACTGTAAACTGGGATATTGATCCTTGGAATCAGGTGACGGATATCCTGGTCCGGTACGTCCAAATGCTGTTGCAATCGGTCGGATCTTCATCAACGGAGGATGCCTGGAGAGCTAGGGATGCTTGTGTGTACTTGATTATTGCAACTGCGGCTAAGGCCCAAGTAAGGAGTGTCATAGCATGCTCATTGCTTACATCATTTGCCTTCCTAGACGAGGAGTAAAGGAGTCTCGATAGTGAACTCAGCTGTGGATGTACCAGCCTTCTTTGAACAGCAGTTGATGCCTGAGCTCTCGCAAGCAATACCATCGGATAGGGAGCCCAGTCGGGCAGTCTTCAGAGCTAGCATCCTCAAGTAATAGGGGTAGTAGTCGCTGTTAGTGAAAGGCAGCCTTTCTCAGATATATAGCAGTATTCCGACACCACCTTCCCATTGAACAACTTAATCGAGCCCTACCGCTTGTTGCGAACCATATCCGAACACCCGTGACTGTAATAATACCGACCATGCATCATGTAATGGCCTCAACTCGGTGTTGGAAGGTACTCCATACATATGCTGCACACTGCTTAACTGTACTACTCCTGCTCAAAGGACCTAATAAGCAACATAAAATACCACTGGAACTGCTCAAACAGAATGTAACCATCCTAATAATCGATCGACCGAGGCTACCGGCTGATCATATTAATCAGATACTACCAACGGTCGGACCTTGTCTTCAAATATTGGCTACAGATAACACACGGTCTGCATATGAGATGAAGCTTGTTATGCGTAAGGGATGCTATCTCATTTGCTACTTATGTGTCGAGCTTATGACTCACGTACGGTGATGCAGGTGTGTTTTCAACCTTCAATGAAGGAGCTCTCAGTATAGCATTACCAACACTGGGGCAGCTGGCAACGGTAGGAGGATAGTTGGGAATGTGTACACCTGGATGCCCGCCTAGCCCTGCTCAACCTGGCTCAATCGTTTGGACATTCAGATACTGCGTGCGGTGGCCGCAAATCCTAGTGATGCCGTTTTCAATCACTATCTCTTTGAAGCCATTGCTTCTATTGTAATAACATCCTTACAACACAGAGGAGGAATGCTCATTCCAGGTGCGTACTGTGCTACAATTCGCTCCTGCCCAACATGGCGAGGTGGAGTCGGCGTTGTTACCGGTCATCAGCTCTATCCTGGAACAGAATGTGGCGGACTTCATTCCGTAATAAATCTAATGCTAATCATCTGTTGGTCCCTGTTAGTGTGCATAACCAGCCGGACGCTTGAAGTATGGAATGCCTCGTTCAGGTATTGCTTTCAAATACTCGGATTGCTTCTGGACTCTGGAGACAGCTCCACGTCAGCGGCAGGTCCACAGATATACGGTGCCCTGTTCGACCGGTGGGGTTCACGGCTTTACTCGTGTGCCTTTTCACTCATCGGTATCCTCAGGTTGCTGACCGATAGTCTGTGGAGGACTGCTGCTAACGTACCGGGCTTGGTGAGGCTCTTCAGCTCGTAGTACCACTTGGGTAGGAAAGCTCACTGGATTTGTTGAGTTTAGGTACTTCAAGAAGAATGCCCAGTTTGGTGAGCAAATAACACGTAACATGCAGACAATCCTCCAACGCTTCCAATATGTAGGAATGTAACGAAGAAGCTGATTGGATATCCTGCTCTGGCGCAGGTCCTCAACCATCGGAAGATCGAGATGCAGGCGTTTGAGCTCATTGTATCAATGTTCCGATACCTACCGCTTGCTGCCTATAAAGAGTAAAGCGATTATGGTCTGAAACTAGCACGGGATGGAACATCGCCTCAGTTCCTTGGCCGGTATATTGACCGTGTTTTTGACGAAGTTGCAGAAGAAAAACACGGCTGCTCTAACCAGGAAATTCGCGATAACTCTGAGTGTGTTCGTGTAAGTCGGCTACCACCCTTAGACTAGGTCCTCAGTCTATCAAAGTGTAAATATTGACGTTATTGGTAGATACTGTGTTCCAGATGGTCCTAAGGCATTGCTTACAACCCTGGAACAGATACAAGCTGGACTATCTGTTATGGTTGTGAAGTCATTGTGGATGTCAGCATTCAAGGGGAATATGGGTGGCAAAGAGAACAAGAAGGTGCGTAGCTATTCGAGAGGATGCAGGCGCTCATGAGGGCTGGTCGACAGGTTTGCCTACTTTCTGCGGCTAAATTCGTGAGTGACCCTACCGTCCAGAGCAATGGAGAGATAATGCATGCCGTAAGTCATCACCGGATTTATTGCGTCACAGAGCGGCACAGGTTCTAATGGGAATATCTGAACTGCTGGGTTTGAACGAGAGAGAGCAACAGCCAGGGAATTCATTGCTTAACCCTAAGCTTAATGATGAGGATGATGATTATGAAGATGACGATGCCGAAGATCGAGAGTAACGTAAATGTTGAGTATATTGTTTGATCCTTTCATCCGTCCCAATAGATACGCAGTTACCTTTGCACGCCTTCACTCGACCGAGATGCCCGGCCATGCTGACTATGCCCCATCAGTAACCGACGTCCCGGGTAGTGTTAAACAAGCCTTGCGTGGCATCGATGGTAGTGGTGGGTCGGTGAACAGCCAATGGTAGTCCTTGCATTTCCAGGCCGGTTCCTCGCCAATCCACCACAAGAGCTGGCGCGTCTCAGCACATGGGTGAGGACCTAAGTATCAGAGCTCGTGTTTGCAACGATATAGTGGAATTTTCACCGTCTGATCTGCCATATTTTGTTGTATGTGGGGGGGGACTGCTCAGCAATAATCGCCTCTCAGTGAATCGTCCTTCTTGCTTGTAAGTGCTCATCATCGATTACCTGAAAATGTATTATGGTAAAGCTAACCCAGATCATGAGATGTATGCCCAAGATATGCCACAGTACAGCTATGCGTCGAGGCTCTATGATTCCGACCATGCTGATGATCATCATGACAACATTCCAACCACAACTATAGGGATGGTTAGGAGGCCCAGAAGCAATACTCCTAGTAAATTGGATCTCGAAGAACAGGAACTATACAAGGAGCGACTTGCATGCAGACATCAGAAGCTCCGAGCCAAAGCTAGAGCCGATTCGGGTGGCAAACGCTACTGCTTCGGCAGGCTCGACAAGAATGGCTATCGGAGCTGCTTGCTTATAAGTTGCACTTCCATTGTGGCTACTGTGGCGCTCCTACTTACATTCTTCTTTGGTCCTAGATTGGCTCAAGGACTATTGGACGATGGTATGGTAAGCGTGGAGTCAGTCGCCATCAACGGGACTAATATTACAACTTGTGCTGGATCAACCGTTAGTGCGTGTCTGGGTGTCACCATAGTGTTCAGTGTTGATAACCCGACACTCCTCGAGGTGAAGTTGGATGAATTCACCGTCAATCTGTACTATGACGAGGCAAGATTCGCGTCTATAAGGATACCAGTTATGTCTCTTGGTAGTGGCCACACCACCATCAACGAGACGGTGTTCATAGTGGTTACAAACAAGACGGCATTCACCAGGTTCGGCTCGGCTATCATCACTGAGCCATCCTCTGTCGTTGCAGTTAGAGCATCTGATATCGGTGGTAGGAGTTGGTGGGTACCTTTGGCCGGTTTGGAACTCAAGAGAGATATCCAAATCGATGGCTTCAACAACTTCCGTGACAATCAGCCGCGGATCTTCGATATGCAATTCGTACCAGCACAAAGCACTATAGAGCAAGCGGTCTACCTCAGCAAATTCAAATTCTTCAACCCAACCAACTTCACTATATGGGATATGGGCAGGCTTCTTGCTTCATTAAACTCGAATGACGAGGAGGTTGGTGCAATATTGTCTGTCGGCTCTCTTGGCATCAAGCTCAGAAAAAACACTGAGTTCGCGGCCGCGACTTGGTTTACCCTCGGTGGAGCTACCGCTCAGTTTCCAAAGGCTCTTGCCAAGAACCTGGAAGACGGCAAAGATATGACCGTCACCCTCAAGGGATTCGGAAGCACGAACCCAGTCTGGGCGGACATGATGCAGTCTATTAATGTTCCCATGTTGATAGCTGCTCGTTGATTATATTGCATTCCCATATCTAATTCAGATTAGCTTCAGTTTGCATTGTGATGCCATGATTGCGTGTGCCGATGATTCACATGAGTTTGGTTGTGTAGTCCAGTCTTCAGGACTGTTCTCAACACGGAGAGATCACATTCGAGGTATCTGTGTTCATGAACCCGACTCTTGTCGTTTACTACGAACTTCCATTCATTTTCACTCTTGCTCCTACGCTTGCTGAGGTAACCTTGAAGGGTTCGAAATCTTTCTAAGATGGGGTGGAGATCATTGGTGGGAATATCGCGGATTGCAATTCCCGCTGCCGCTACCTGTCTGGACACCATACTTGTCTCCACACTCCTCTCGTTTTTAAAATGACTGTCTAACCTTTAATTGCATCACTCTCAAGTGACTAAAAGTGATGCAAAAGATATTTATCCATGCCATCAGTTGACGAGAGAGTGATCTCCGACTGTCGGAGATCACTCACCGATAGTGACGAGCTTAACGAGCGACTGAAACCCTTATTGTTTCTCTGCCATTTACAACTATAGTACTATATCAAAACAGCGGACAATGATGCCTGCTAATGTCGATAACACATCTACGTCCTCAACTACCGCTACTGTACGAGATAGTATACCCACCGGGGGCTCCAGTGATCGTGATGCTCCCTCAATTCGAACACCGCTGCGAGTACTTGACAACCTTTCGACTGGCTCTATCTTCAAAGATGAGGCTCATCAGGAACAAGTAGGTTCCGACCTTGGTCCTATAGACTTGCCGCGACACAGCACGACTGTGCCCCATTCTACCCCAGGCAGAGCCTCACCACCCAACACTGCTACTACACCAACTATGGTAGCAGTTTTTAGGATGTGTATATTGAACTGTAATGAGGATGTGCGTGTCACTGATGGTAATTCTCCCGTGTTGAAGGTGGCGACTTTAGAATCGATTGAGAACCTGATTTGACGGAATTTCGAAGCTTTTCCTGGTGATGGAACACATCACCAATTCTCATTTACTCCCGCTTGTTTCCACTGATACAGTGTTGACTTGTATGTGATTACTGAATACTGGACATCGGCTGATCCAAATCCTGTCGCCGACAGGCTGTCGGTCAGCATCAATCTTGGAGCCGTACACAGTAAAGAAAACTCACTTGCCTCGTATTGCCACCGTTCATATAGTGTAATACCACATCACCAAGATGACAAGTAATACTGAAGTTTTCACGCTCGCCGCACGTATGTGGTCGCCAGGATTTCCCTTGACATGACTGAGTGTCGCAATCCTTGTTCTTATTGAGGATAATTGACAAGACAAAAACAGGAGTAGATGAAATACGTTAGTATCACTTGGTAATAGTATGCCCTTGCTCTCGAAGAGCGCTTGTGCTTCTTAGGATACTTTTAGACGCACTTGGAGCCGATACTTCTCCCACACCAGTAGCGTCGTCACTCGACCTCTACGCTTCACACTAGCGTCTTTGACGAGTTTGCAGAGATAGAAACCCCGACAGTGATCCACTTCAGGTCGAACTTGAACGTCTCGAGCGCCGTGAGTCGGCTCCTTCCAACAGGACCCCACTTCAAAAGGCCACTCCCGTCTATACCCGCTTTGCAGTCTATTAAGAGCTTTCTTCACAACTTCGCCATTTTCTTCGTTCTTGATACTACATGTGCTGTAGCACACGGTCTGAACAGCGGGGAATGCCGTCAAGGCATGGTCCAACATTCGGCATTGGAATGATGAAAGCTTGCGGAGCCGCTGGGCGCCGACACTCTCAGAGTCAGCGTGAACATCGACCAATCCAGAACCACTGCAGCTCGGGTCCAAGTTTACATGGGTGACCTCGGGAGAGCTGTACTTGATGAAATCACCAACACGTACTTCAACACTGATATCAGGGCTGTGCGCCGCAGACAGATGAGCAACTTCTTCAGAAGTCCTCGTCCCATCTCGTGGTAAGAAACCAGCCTTTGCCAGACGGTCCAGTAGCACCTTTGCCCGCTTAGGATCAAGCTCCATTGCTACCATAGTACCTTCTATCTTACGATACCTCATTAGTTGTAGCATGTGAATCGTCTTGGAACCAGGAGAAGCACATGCGTCTACGACTGTGATTTTCTCTCCTGGCTGAACGCCGGCCAGCAAAGAGTGCGCGGACAAGCAGCTGCCACGGTCCTGTAGTACGAGGGTAAAGTCTCTCACCAGAGGAGACTCGATGAGCGCCTTGGAATTCCAAGGATCTACAGTTATAACCTGAAATATCATATCACATCTTTAGACGGCAGTGTTGAGATTATTACATCAGGAATCAGTGGATCTGCCTTGGATTTGATACCAGCTGAGCCTAATTGTTCGATAGCATTTTCCCTGGAGATTTCTGCCAAGTTCACACGAACATATCGTGGGAGCTGAGCAGGCTGCTTATCCTCACTGCTACTGGACTGGTCATCGCTAACCGCCTTCCTCAAAATAGCCGCTTTCTCGTTCAAAACTCGAGCCAATTTGCCGCCTCCGCGAAGGCCTTGACCGTAGATCAAGTCATAGGCCATGACGAGGCCGAGACTGCGATCCCCTAGGGTGTCCAGAATACCCGCTGATCGCAACGCCGATTCTATACGTTTCCTGGACTTAACAGTTTTGCACACTAACGCGTAGACTTTCTGTGGATTAGTACTCTTCAGCTTAGACTTGTAGAAAGCTTCCCTAAGGCCAACACCATGCGATATGACTCTATCCACAACAGCTGCTGCGTCTTTGTACAGTAACGACATCGAGTCTGCAACTTCACTTGGAGAGGCAGATCCCAAAATCCGTGACAGGTGACCAAATGTAAAAAATCTCGCTCGCCCGCACTGGGCAAAACGGTACTTCCAATTCTGTACGACCCCAATACTGTACGACAGGTTGATCTCGCTCGCCCGAACATGTCCATGGAGTACCCTCCAATATTGTACGACGGATTCATGCATTTGGGTGCCCTGTCCAATACTGTACGACTGGTCCAGTCGCAATGGTGGGTCTCTCTCGTTGCGCTTTGGTAGGAGCTGCTTTGGAGTATCTCAGAATGAAGAGCCCGTACATTCAACGAGGAGAGAGAACGGTGACAACAATGCAGCAGTGTCATGACTGGTGAGTCACGAGGAAAACCTTCCAGGTAAGTGGATTTATCTGTGAGCTCGCAGGGCAATATACACATGATCAACTTCACGTGTTAGCGACGGTGATGAAGATTCGGTGAATTATTGTCGAATTTTATAAACTTCCACCTAAGTCGTGCGCCATCTTCCACAATGTGGCGTTGACAGTGTCAGCTTGGCACTCGTGCATAAACCGGATATTATCCAACTGATGATATCGGTGGGCAACATAAGTAAAATTCCACCACCGAAGCTGGCATAGCATAAGCTGTTGAAGTATTCGCGTCTTCTGAGACAACGCAAATACTTCAGTGTCAAGTACAGGCTGTACTGTACAGCGAGCGCTGGTTGTGCGGCGCTGGGACCGTATCGAATCCCGACGCATTTCAATCTGAATTGCCAACTCAATCGTGCTAGGTATAGGTCTGCCTTAGTCTGGCATATATTTCACATGGTGAATTTTACCAGTTGTTTAGCGAAGATGAATTACAGCTCTTCAATCTGCCCTCCATTGGAAAGTCTCCAGTTTCCTATCGCTTCAGTCATCATCCTGGGTTTAATAATGCGATAAAAATACGGGATCGTTCTACGATGGGGGCTGATTATTCGGTTCAATGCTGGCAGCATTATGCTGCAAAAGATTGTGGATTGTTGGGTAATTCCGAATTACTCTTTAGGAATCGTGAGTCATGGATTGTCGAAATACTAATTCGACAGCTCAACCGCTCAACAGCTCTTCCGTCCTGCCCTTGCCATATCGCTGCTGTGTAAATCGACCTCGGTCAGCAATTTGCCCTCTTAAGTATTACACTGGGTGAGTATTCGTAAGAATTCCTTACGGGTAGTCACCCAGTGAGTCTCTGTGCCAGCGTATTGTGCGGCATTCGCTATGCACATGCGTGCGCTCCGGCCCGGCCTTGAAGGCCCGTTAGAAGGTGATTGACTCTCTTGTAGTTATCTTTCCCCACCTTCCAACCTCGAAGTATGAATACCACTCCACCTTCGCACATCTCTGAGACGCCTCAGCTGCGTGAGGTTGCAGATCAGGTTGACATGGTGGTCAACGTACCTCCTGCTGACGGAGCAGCGGCCTCACGGCTGGAAATAGTTCCCGGAGAACGTCAGGGGACAACTCTCTACTCATATAGGGGATACCTTTACCACCAGAATGCCGCCGGGAATAGCGATCGCCCGCCTGCTCGAGAGAGAGGCTCGGTTTCTTGTCGTTGTAAGAGGTATCGTGGTTGTAAGAGCAATGGATATCGCAAGTGTCATGCTCGGCTAGTCGTGACGGGTAACCTAGATGATGTAAGGCTCGCTTCCGCAACTGTCAAAGGTTCTCACACATGCGGAGATCCGGATGCGCCTTCCATGAAAGGCTACATTGAGATGAAGGAGCGGGCTAAAAAGCTGTCGGTGAGGGCACGTGTCATGGAGCCATTTCACGAGGTGACTCCGAGCATGGACGATGCAGCGGTAGCGGGGTTACCGAGTCGCAAAGCGATACATGAGACTTTGCGCAAAACAAAAAAAACTTCCCTCGGGCTACCGACGGCCCCATCCAGTCGGGAAGGGCTGGCGGCTTTGCCCTCTGCATTTGTCCATGTGAATGCTGGGGGCCTCAGTCGGTCAACCTTATTGTTCGATAGCGGCGAAGGGGATAAGGATCGCCTCATCATCTGGATGGATCCTTGGGTGAAGGACGTGATGAAGAACGACGGAGAAGGTTTCCACATTTCTGTGGATGGGACGTTCAAGACTTCTCCGACTCATTGGGCCCAGCAATTCACGGTCATGGTCCGCTTTGACTGTGGTCGCATGTTTCCTCTATTCTACGCTATTCTCCCGAGAAAGAATGGAAATACCTACGAGCGATTTTTTGCGGCGATAGAGGGATCGCTGACTCAGGATGTGGGGAGCTGCATGATGGATTTTGAATACGCTGTGAGAAAAGCTTTCGAAGGCGTATTCGGGAAAGGAAAGGTTGTTCTTTGCTACTTCCACTTCTGCCAGAACATAAGGCGGAAGTTCGAGAGCCTTATACGGAAGCCGGTTGCTTCTAAGGAGCAGCAGGCTCTGCGAGAAGAGGTTTACTACGACATATTGGCGCTCCCCTTTCTTCCGCTTGATCTCGTGGACTTGGGAATGGATTTCATCTGCGACAAACTCTCGGGAGACGACCGTCGTTTTCTTCTGAAGTACCTCCGCCCTTACTACGGCATGAAAGGCATTCATCCAGCAAGATTGTGGAACTTGCGTTTGCGCGTTGAGCAAGAACTACCGCGGACGAATAATGGCCAGGAGGGATTCCACAACCGTTGGAACGGTCATTTTCCGGGATCAAGCCATCCTACAATCTGGTCATGGATAAGCGTGGTTCATGATCTCATGAAGGAGACGAGGGCCGAATTACTTATGATGCGAGAGGGGGAAATCTGGCCTCGTGAAGCTCGATACCTCGAGAATGACGCGATACTGCGCAGAGTTTGTCGCTTCAGAGTAGATTCGGCGAGCCTCGGGAGCTGGTTCGATAAAGTAAGGGCTTCCATCAGGAGGATCGTGAAGGATATGCCTCGCGAAGTTGACGAGGCGGAGTCTCTAGAGTTCCCTACTATTGAGCCTGCTACTGATGCGAAGCGCAAGGCAGACTTTGGTCCCAATTATTCGGGAGTGAATCAGCGAAAGCGCCTCGCAGCTGTGACTCTCAACGATGCGGTCGAATTCTCGCAGGATTCGGAATCTTCTGAGCCTCCAAATAACGACACTGTGGTGCTCGGGGTACCCGAGGGTTCCAGCTTGGATGATGGCTTACTTCGCATGTTCAATGAGGTGGCAGCTGCTTTCGCGGGCAACACCTTAGTCGAAAATTCCTTAATGGAGGCTCCTCCGATGCCAGCTCAGGCTGAGGCGGGATCTCAGGGTATCGCAGTTCAACCACCTTCCCAGGAGAAGTCGGGCTCAGACGGAACTGACCGTAAGAGCGATAAAGGACGGAACTCCTTCCCAACTTGGCGTATTTTTCCGGGGAGAGAAGTGGGTACGACCTTGCTCTTGACGACCCAGGATCGAGAGAATTTGGTTGTCGAGGACTCGAGCATTTCCGACCAGGTGATAGAGGCTTGGATGACCCGTATCGAACACAAGTTCAAGAGGAAGGTTAATCGAGCTCAGGCAGTATGGCTATCGGGCTATGGGTTTTCCCCTGTGCCTGACAATGATTTGGTTGTCTTGCAGCCAATATCTGACGGCGGTTGTCACTTTACCTGCACGGTGCGGATTAATGGTGATATATTTTACTTTGATAGTTCATACGGAGAGCAGGCTAAGGTCTCGGATTACATGAAGGTACGGCTGAGGCAGCTCTACGGATCTGGTGCTAAGGCGGTATGCCCTTCTGTTCAACAGCAAACCATTGGAAGTAATCTTTGTGGGGCGTTCGTGTTGGCACGACTAACGGCATATGCTGCTTCGCCTCATCAAAAACCTGACAAGTTTCTATTTCGGGAATCTGAGATGAGGCAGCATATTTTCTCCTGCTTGGAAGATGAGAGTAGGCGGTCTCTCCTCTTTCCGAGAATACGAGGCAGGACCCCGCCTGATGTAATCTTATCGAAAAGGTTTTCTTTCACATTGTGATTTTTAATGTAATCAACTTCAATGCATGTATGAGAGAGGGTAGAGCCTCCGTCATGACTGTTGTATGATATACAATTGAGGCAGTATAGGTCTCTTGCAGCGCCAAAGATCTCACGTCACATATATTCCCCATAAATTCCCAGTACCGGTTTAGTTTTCAGTCCTGCTATTGTGCTGTGTTAGTCAATACAGTTCACGGCATCCAACCGTTATGTGCTCTATTCTTCAGTGTAACACACATTAAGACCGTAGTTTTGAAGCGCTCAACAATGTTGTCATTGACTGCCTGTCCGTGACAGGCTGTCACTCTTACCGAGATAACGGGATGAACGATAACATTGTATCTAGCTATTGGACTTACGACTGAATTGAATTGTCTTGGTCGCCGTTTTGTGTCGTACAACTTTGGAACACGCATGAAATCAACTCTTCACGTCGTACAGTGTTGGGAGGCTACATCTGGGCGAGCGAGATCTACCTGTCGTACAGTATTGGGGTCGTACAGAATTGGGGGATTCGGCAAAACCTCCAAGGCATTTGACGGCCACGGATTTGTCGGTGGTTATAGTGTCGGGGTCCGACACTATAATCACCGAGATTGTTGTCGTAGCGGCCTTTAGGCAGAGTGAATTCGATTAATTCTCAGTCGGAATGAGTGCCAAGGAGAGTGTGCGCGTGGAATAGAGCTGAGGTTGTTGCGAAAAGCTCTGGTCTGATTGTACCGTATTGATAATCTCGCACCGCATCCGCCGCTGCGACACATCCTAAATGAGGCGGTTCAGTTCCGTTCCGAGCAGAACCGGGTAGAGGTCAGCCGAGCTTTGATATCAAGTAACTGTAGTTGCACCATCCTTGAGGAATTAGCAGGGAGACCGCTCCTCTAGCTGGTCAAGCGAAGGAGCATCTAGAGAATACACGAGAAGAGCAGACGAAGTGGGTGAGAACGGTCTGATTGAATGTGAGAACGGTCGGATTGATTGAGACTGATTTACTACTAGTAAATCATTGATATTCTAGTAATACACTAGGCTCGTGTACAAGTTCAGTAGATCCAAAAGCGGTATGACCGGACGGAGGTCGAGAAGTTACGGGCAGCCATTGGCACAGCAGAATAGGGGACTCCAACAACTATGTGAGACGTGCACAACGTTCACGCTTGCTGTGATCAGTACACGAGGCGCATCTTCTTGAACGCCAAGGCTTTATTTGCGATGAGGCATCTTGCGAAAGGAAGGACATTGTATTGTGTCCATGAACGATACCCTTTCAAGTGTTTCGTTCTCTTCATTGTCATGGTACTTATTTTGGCACCAGGATCCTTGGTATGCCGTTTCTAAGTCCTAACAGCTGTTTCTCCAATATTCAACAATAGAACTCCTAGCTCGTATTCGTGGTATTGAATGTCACCGTTCTCAATGTATTCATCTCAGTTATCATCTCATTTGGATGTCATCTGACCGACCATGGTTTTCAAAGGATTGGAGCGACCCTTGGGTGGAGATAGAGGATGAGTCAATGCAATGCCGAGAGTCCATCGGGTTCGGCTATCCTATCTGGGGAGTGGCACTAGGGAACTGGGGGGTTCGGTCCACCGAAAGATCTGGGAAGTAAGATGCAAGGTCTCTACTCACGATGATTGACCACCACACTTTCAGATTTCGATATAACGTCGAAGTGCATCCCAGTCCAGAAGCACGGAGCGATGCTATAATTGGCTTTGCTGCAGTGCCTCATAGTACAACTAATGCCACTTCTTGCATCCTGTGTATCGACTATCGAACGGGACGACTGGGTAAATCATCCAACACTGATCCACAGATCATCTTATGGTCGAGTCCCATCGGTGGTGTGCGTACTCATGATCCGACTATGGTCAGTGCTGAGCTCAGCCTGAAGGATGGCAAAGTATGGTTTGAGGGTCTGGACAATACGCAGAAGATACAAATACCTACATGGCAACTCACAAAGAATTGTATTTGGATTCCCTATGTCGCGCTTCGTGATTGCAAAGTCACAAACATGGATGCCAAGTCGATCCCTCCATTCCAAGTTGGCTCTATGTCTTTGGGATCTCCAAGGACAGTCTACTGCTCATGCGGGCCTCCATTAAGTGGCAAATCGTTCCAGCTTAATAAGACTTTAGCAGCAGGCAATATCACTGGGGTACTCCTGGACCTTTCTGAGAGATCGATTCTCAGCCGTGCCTGTCTAGATGGAGATGCCAAGAACCCGAACGCTGGCAAGTCTGAAAAAGTTGCGTTTGACGAGATTATGCTCGCTCACGAGCCACCAATCAAGAATTGGCGTCGTCATCATGCGGTTTTTGTCTGGAAACATCTCCGGAAGATGGCAAAGCGATGGCCTTCATGCAATGCCGTCATACTCGATTCGTGCCACTTGTTGGAATCATATCGAAGGTGGCTCCGGCAGTCTGTGGTCCCAATGAGTGTCACCATACAGTACACTGTGGTGCTTCCAGACTCGGTGAGAACACTTCACGAGCGAGCAGGGGCTGCCTCGCGTCTACGTCGAATGATCACGGCTACAAGTGACTCGAGTTTGTCACTTCCAGTGGAATCAAAAGGTGTCAAAGTCATACATGCTACTATTGGTGGCCGGGAAGTGTCGCAGAGAGTGTTTGATGACTGGATTAAAGCTATGCATGAGGAGCCTGAGACGAAACGTACGACCTATCTAGCAGCTGTGGGGTTGATCATCTACTCAGGTTCACGACTACGAGACTCTGATGATATCGTTGAGGATCCTGCTGACTTGTCGATGCTCAGTGGCCAATGTGCGAGCTTGGAGATCGATGTGCCATGCTACGATGAATGTTGGCCGAGGGCAGCACCACCCGTTGATGATCCCAAGTAAGCTCGACTGCTTGGAGTAATTTTGGATGCCTCTCACTCGGGGTGATTCCTCCAAGCATCTGGCACGTACTCATTTCGAACCAATTTAGCAGTCTTTCCTGATCATTTCAGGTCGGTCGAGAGTACTGTGATGGTGGCGGAGACAGCTGGTGCCGACACGATTTATGGAATGCTTGATGAACTTGACGATATATAACGTTTGTATGAGGGGTGTTTTGCGTTTGTGTAATGGATGCATTCGTACATTTCTTTCGATTACACAGTGCCTTCCATCCGGAACTTGTTAACTACGAAGACCAGACAATTAGAAACACGATCCGTATATGATGAATGTAGCAGGGCTAACTCTACTCGTTCCATCGTTGGAACTGTTCCAACGATGGGACGCTGTGATAGAGTGCCACCATCACTTCAACTCCCTGGCGTTGATCGATTACTCGAGGTAAGAGGGTGTGACGTTCGAGAGGAGCCGTGGACGATTCGGTGCGCTTCAAACGGACAATCAACTCTCGCAGAGGCTTGGAAGGCTTCGAATGAAAACTCTCATTTCAGATTTAGAATTCATAGCTTAGAACCTGTTAAATGTCGTGTTTCACGGTCCAGACACTCCATATAACGAGAACAATCCCAGCCCATTCATCACAGGGTACTTAGATCAGTTCGGAATGGCTCCTTGACTTGTACTTAGCGCGCGCCCACTAGATCGATCCATCGATGGTTAGGGAAGGGTCAATCCAATTCTAGAAAGTGCAGCGGTCGAGTGAGCTTCGTCGAACTTTGACCCTCTTCAAGGGTTGCATCATCGCACTTATTATTCTGGGTATAGTGTGAGTGTAACACAATGTGCCTTTGAGAGTAGATGTTCCTGTGTTAGTCCCTCTCACACTTCTGGTGATTTATGTGCTCCTACGTCTTATCCAATAATGTTTAGGTTGTGGGTTCAAATCCGAAAGGGAAGCTTGGTTGGGACTCATTGAAACCCGTATGGCCCTCCGGATGTTGGAGATCTTCATAGGTAGATGAGGAGGAGCGTTTAAGTGAGTTCATTTTAGGAACTCTTCTTACACAATAGGTAGCTCATAATACACATGGTTTGTTTTGATAGTGATCTATGATGGAACAAGCGCACTGGACTAATGGACCCACATTCACTGAATAAACTTCAAGTGGCGTAGCTCCCCCCTTGAGGTAGTATCGGACAGTGCGATTGGATAGGTTATGAAACGCGATTCCTGAGAGTGGTCGTGGCATATTCCCATGGAGGGTAGCGTCCTACATGCTAAACCAGTGGTACTGATTTCTTGATGCACAATTATGTCGTGTTCGAAGGGAGGTGGTTCATGGAGGAACGGCCAATCCTCCTCCACTTCTACTATTGTTGAATTAGGATTTATTTCCCCAAGTACTGAGTCTCAATGAATGAGGCAACCGACGGAACCCGTCCCCGGCATTCGAGTGGTGTTTCGGCCATGTTCAGTGTTGGTGTTACACCAACGAACAATGTGACAGACTTCCCGACAGCCGCTTCTTCAACGACATCAGCGACCTCAGACTCGCCCCTTTCGTCTAGGCACTCTTCAATAGCAGCTAGCCTTGCGACTAGTGGGGGTCTCACGCGGAGGCCTAGTCGGGTCGCAACCATTAGTGGTATGAAGCGATCAACATCTTCTACTGAGGATGCCACTGCAGCTACCGCATCCGATAGAGGAGGAAAGGTTGTCGAATCTCCTGATGAGGGAGCCGAAGGATCCGTCCCAGAACCGAGCGGATCTATACTCTCCCTTTGGACAGTATTATCAAAGACTATGATTGGTGTTGGTATGCTTGGCCTTGCTTATTCTGTATCAAGATGTGGCTGGGTTATTGGTATACTAGCTATCATTATCAGTGGTTTGGCATCTCTGTTCACTCTTCATCTACTTAATCGATGTGCCTTGATGCTTGAGGTGAGGCCAATGAGCTTCTTCGTCATTTCACAAGCGTGCTCTCCACGCTCAAGGTGGGTAGTGGATACAATTTTAGTCATTACGAGTATTGGAGTATGTATAGTTTATTTACAGGTTGTTGGTAATATGCTTGAACCCCTCATATCCCGATGGATACCTATCATACCAGAAACTATTGGCTCTTTTGCTACACGAGCGATCTCATTTTGATATGTGTG